TGGGGATATTTCAACATAAGACTAATGGTACTGTGGGGATATTTCAACATAAGACTAATGGTACTGTGGGGACATTTCAACACAAAGATAACAGTACTGTGGGGACATTTTTAAGAAATGGATCATGGTACTGTAAAGAAACTTTTACTTCTTATATGCCTCAAAAGTACCCTTTTAGGTCTTCATATTGTTATGTGAGGCTCAACAATCTGTTGTACGATTTTTCATATTTCTAATCGAACTGAAAATGTTATTCTATTTTTCATTGTGACAAGTCAAACTGATAGCGAGAGTTAACATAAAGTACCCTGTGATATAAATCATGAGTAAAATATGTTTTGTACTTTTTTTATATGTATATATATACATGTTTGTTTACAGTGTATCACTCTTTGGGCTTTGATTAGATTTTTCTTGATTTAATTATTTTCTTGAATTTGAATGTTGTACCGCAAACAGTACCTACTTAGGATGATAAGTTGTATATTAAAACTCTATATGTTATGAAAGAGAAGTTTGTCCAGAGAAGATTGAGAGACAAGTTAGTTCACAAAGTTTAATAAGAGAATTTCATTAAAAATGTGTTCTTATAAAGAGTGGTTGAAGCTTTAACCAATAATTTAAGTACTATGGATACTATTAATAAGCTACTAGTGTTAAATAAGATAGGTTTAGCTATATTTTGTTAGGTTTAAATTAATTTAGAGAATTTCATTAAAAATGTGTTAAAAGATGTTCTTATAAAGAGTGATTGATGCTTTAACCAATAAGTTAAGTATTATAGATACTACTAATAAGTTACTAGTGTTAAATAAGACAAGTTTAGCTTTATTTTGTTAGGTTTAAATTCTTAGATGTGAAATTTTAGCCTATTATTGATCTATATTAAGAAAGCGTTATATGATTTGAATTACTGGAATTTTTAAAATAACTTGCCGGATTTTATTGTTTACATAAAATGTTATCAGTTATTTATAGATGTAAGTTGCTATCAATTTTCCAGTTACTGGAAGTATTTCTATGTTTCTGAAATTTTACATAATTTCAGAATGTTTCAAATAAATGCTTAACTTCAATTAATTTACTAATTACAATTTACTTATGATATTTTTAGTAATAATAAACTTGAAGTCTCACTCCTTGATTTACAAAAATGTACCAACATTTTTAGTTTATAGAAATGTTATTAAATTATCTCATTTTAAAAATAAAAGATATTTTCTTTACAAACACCATCCTTGAAAGTTCAAAGTCTCATTATAAATCAACAACATTAATTGAAAACTAGTAATGCTGAAAAGGTTTTTCTTTGCTTGTTATTGCAGTGTCTACTCCCCCTTACAATGTAATATGAATGCCTCAGACTATGCTGAAGTAGATACGCACAACATGGCCACTTTCTACATGAAGGAGCCTCCTTCAGCCCTTGCACCTTATGCTACCACAACATTGATCAACAATCCAGCTCCAAAACACTTCAGTGCATCAGTAGGTTTTATCCACTACATATATTTACAAAATTTGATAAGAAATACGGGTCTCTTAAAATGTAGGAAATAATTTTATAGAATTTTTCTATTGTTCTTCTACATACATTTTCACAGTAGAATATATTTGATGAAAGCTATGGTTTGAATAAATAATAAGTAATATTCTGATTTTACTATACAGCCAGACTTTATAAGTAAAAAATACAAACAGTAGTGTATTATTAGTTACATAATAATGAATAAATAACAAGTAATATTATGATTTTACTATACAGCCAGACTTTATAAGTAAAAAATACAAACAGTAGTGTATTATTAGTTACATAATAATGAATAAATAACAAGTAATATTATGATTTTACTATACAGCCAGACTTTATAAGTAAAAAATACAAACAGTAGTGTATTATTAGTTACATAATAATGAATAAATAACAAGTAATATTATGATTTTACTATACAGCCAGACTTTATAAGTAAAAAATACAAACAGTAGTGTATTATTAG